ATTAACTTTATTGAAGGGCTGCAGAATTTGTAGCAAGGGTTTATAGTGGGTTCCTGCCTGAAAGGCTTAACCCCACGGTGGCCCAAGCCACTTTAAGCGTACTACGCCCCCTGGCGAGTTAGACAATCCCCACAGAGTAGGGGCCTAAACAACAAAAGAGTCCAGAACAGTTTATTGTGTATGGAACAATAAACCCCACTCTGGTCAGTGGTGAGGTCTAGCTGCACTCGACTGTTCCAGTTTGGATAGGAACTTGCCAACCACAGCCACCACGAGTACTCCCCGAAGGGCCGCACCCAAGCAGTCAGGACTCACAAATTGATCAACGCTCGCTTCCGCCATAAGGCTTCCACGGCGCTGTTGATCAATTACCACCATTACCCGCAGGCATCCGTGACATATTTTCAAAAGTAAAAATAGGCAAAAGAGGAAAAAGCCTTTCCGTCAAATCCCTTTTTTCATTTTTGCATGTATTTATTAATTAATTCTCGAGAGGGGTTTTAATAATCGGCCAAAGGGCTGCAGATAAATTTCTAGTATTCTTTATTTTGCATACTATCTTTGAATGCCTATCAATCAAAGGTTAAATGCATGCCATTGTCCCCCATGTCGCCATTCGAGGAAAGCATAAGATTGTAAGGAATGAAGCAGGTATTCCTCCTCTTCATACAAGAATGGCGATGGCGATAACCAGAATTAGTCCATTATATCTTGCTATAGAGAGCTGGATATTCTCGTGACCAACTAAAGCGTGTTTCTCGAAAAACCAACCCAATCAACATGTGAGGGAGATAATCTTAGCGTTGAGGGGCCAACCAAATAACTAAATGACTAACCAGGCGGGGCATAATTCTAACGCACAACCTTCATATAGGGTGTTCCAAAATTTATTTGATTTGAATTAAATAGAAAACATAGTTAGGAGAGAGTTGTATATGGATGGGCATATCGGGTAAACCGCCTCCACGGGTTTGCTGGGTTTTTTCTCGAAACTCTGATCACCGAAACGTGAGAGTATACGACAGTGAGAATGTTTCATGCAATAATTGAACCGTTTAGCGGGATGTATGGCTCGGGGCATGGCCTTCTTGTCGTTCACAACAACATCATCCAATTAGAGCAGAAAGCACTAGGCTTTCGTGGCGGGATATCGAGCACCTGTAACAAACATTGCTTGACTTCGCAGAAATACCGAAAAACTTTTCTTATTTCTGAGCTGTCTGCTGTATAAGACTTTTCTTCCTTTTTTTTTTTCTTTTGGGTTGACAACACTTAATCGCACTTCAAATTTTGCGACACCCTATAGTAAGTTGGGGAATGTCCTCAATGTCATATTTTGCTCGCAACCAGTCCTAAAATGACTTTACGCAACTAAGGACAGCAATATCATTGGCCCACATAGTCTTTTTCCAATCAAGCGGTTCATAACATTAATATATGGTCACTTTTGAAGTCAGTTTGACAAGATTTTGGAAAAATTTCAATTGCCAAAGTATAAACGTAATCATCGGAGCATTCCAAGCCAAATTGCGTGAAAAGAACAAAGTTAATTAGTATCAATATTTCATAATCTGTAGCAGAAAGTGATCTTCTGCTGATTGCCTTTAAGTGCTTGCCATTATCAGCTCATTCAAATGCTTGTAAGTAATTTGTAGATATCCGCCTGATGTAGAAAGAGAAACCAAAATTTACCTTAAAAATTTCCCCGCTTTTTTTTTTATTTTATTTTTAATTATTTTTTATGAAAAACTGTTCACTTTTTTCAAGAAGGGCAAATATGTACAGTAAAAATTTGTTATGAGAACTTTATTAGGGCATACAAAATCAAAAAATCTGAATTAGTTTGAAATATTTTAATACAGACAAGGGTGGAGGTTACGTTTTAAATAAAGCCCTAAATAATATAAAATGCTTGTAAATTTTAATTAGAATGCGAAAAATTGTGCAACATTTCGAAATGAATGGAAAAAGTTTCAAAAATAGTGAATGAATAATAAAACTTGTCGCTAAGTTTGTTAAAGAAAAATTGTTGAAACTAATTCTTGTAGAACAATGGGGAGAATTTATTTAAAAATAGTTTGAAATAAAAAAAAAAAAAAACGCTTTTGTTATCTCCATTAAGACATATCTAAGAATTTTTCTTGTGTATCATCATCGTTCAAACCGTAATTTTACTTTAAAGGAAGAATGCCGTTCAGTGGTTTGTCTATTTAGATTTAGTTTAGTGGCCATCGAAGTGAAGGTAAACCAACAAGATAACTTGCATTTGGTGCGGTTTGTGTCCTTGCCAAAAATCAAAACTTTGCTTTATTACTAAGTTGTGTTTTATCGCGCAATAAAATCAATCTGACAAAATAATTAGAAAAATTGAATAAAATTATATCGTTTACCATATGTCAGTTATCATGCAGTGTTTGCGTGCAATAACTGAAACATGTCGGTGCATGGCCCCGTTACAAAGCGCTCCAAAAAGCTATATAACATACTTTGTGTATTGTAAGTATGCCCTACATCACTTTCGATATAACGGTATATTAACTGTGTGCAAATATATGCAGCACCCAGATGTACCTACGATAGATCCATCTTTTATTTTGTCGTTCAATTCAGAATCACTTTGTGTATCGCTTTACACTACCCCGTCTGTCTTGCATTCTTGTGTCCAACCTAAAAGTCGCCGATTTCGAGATATTTTGGTGAAATTTCAAAAAACTACACTGTTTTAACCCAACGACGAGCGCTATTCAAAATGGATCTCATAGGGCTACTTTATCGTCCACTTCCCATATAACGCATTATTTTGAAAAGTAGAATAACTGTGTCGAACAAAATGATGTAAGGTATTTTTAAGGGTGGTCCGTGGCCTACTATAATGCTTTTACTAGTTTTACTTAATACTGAACCCTAACAACAATATGTTGTTCGCGTGGGTGGGATGGTTTTACTGCATAGCATATGATCTATCAGTTATTTAGGTTTATATTTTCTATTTCTCTTTAACTTTTTTTTACTACTCTACGAATCCAGCTGCCGTGCTATCGATAAATTAATGAATATCATTGCCACTTGCAGCGAAGAGATCAAAATTTTTACCATAGCCTATTTGTGTCTATATCGCGATCAGAAGAATCTACTCTTCCCATTCGAAATTGTGGGGAAAATCTTATCGTTTCAAAGATATTACTACACTTCATGACTTTCTACCAGAAACCTACCCCCCAAGGAAAGATACACAATTCGTAGCGACTAGATCTCCGAAAGTCGTAATAAAATATTTAACTTTATTTAAACGATTAGTTTAAATAACTAGATTTTTTTTTGTTTAAATAAAGCCCAGAGATGGTCTTCACTGCTAGTGGTCTATCTATCTTACTTTAGTCGAAGAATTTATTTCTTTGAGACGAAGGAATTATAATAAAGTAAAAATAATGTAATCATTTTGTTCATTATTCAATGTTACTTAAGTAACAAATTTCTCTCAGCAAACCAAAGCGGTGTACAGGTAGTTTACTTTTTAGCAAAAGCCAAATGGTTGAGCTAACCTCGCGCCAGTTAAGTAATTGGCAGGTGACCCCAAGGAGTAATTTTTGTCGGTACATATATTCCAATCATGGAGGTGAAGACATCCTGTGAACGGATGTCACTTTCTATGCATGTAAGTATATATGATGTGCTGGCCTTTAGTTATAGTAGAGAGTTCTGCATTATTATACAAACTGTAATAGTTTACCTGGGTATTTTAAAAGCGTTACCAATTAGATGCGACCATCTTTCAATGTGTATTTGATGCAAGAGCATATTAAGTTTGTGCGGATGTATAGAACACACAGAAGTGTTTGAGATAGGTCCATCTCCATCGATTCCGAATCACTACCCGAATTACTTTTCGAATTAATCTGAGCTTGTCTGTCCGTCTTGTATTTTTGTGATCAAATTTGGTACATCGACTTGTTTGCTCTAAGGACGAATGCTATTCCAAATCGTTCGGATTGGATCGCTTTGTTGATCACTTCCCACACGAAACACTTGAAAAGTCATTATATATATATATATAAACCAAGTGTGCGATATAGGGTATTTATTGGTCGACCATGGCCCGCCATTATGTTTTTTTTTTTTGTTTACTTTTTTACATTTTAGTTAAAGTGAATATTTTTAATGTTTAGATTAAGAAAGCAGGCTGCTAGTGTTATAAATGACCTTTTAAATCCCTACTGAATGAATCTCAAGTTGTATGTATACCAAATCTGTGCTTTAATAATTAAAAATCCCACGTGAACCTATCTTTCATTACTTCCACTCTATTCTATATTTATGTTAATGCTAATGAATGTAATCTTATACTAAGGCACATGACAACAATTAACGTTAGGACTGAGTACAAGAGGAGGAGACTAAACGAAAAATGTCGATTTACGAGTGCTTTGTAAATAACAAATAAGATTTTTCACTTTAGGGTATAAAATAGAAAATGCAATACGGGTCAAAAAGAAAAAAAAAAAAAAAACAAGAAATATGGGGAAGAGGATACCTAAAAAACGCAGCTGACATTTTACAATTTGTTGTTATTTTTGCGAACAAACAAAAGTAAAACACGTCCGCCTTGCAGACTATGTAATAACACAATACGACAAGTCACCCATGCACAAGCATGGTGTTAAATAAATAATACAACAAAATACGTCTCACCATAGACATCTGCTTTGGGGGGTGGGAGGGGTAGGTGCAACAGAAATAAAAACATCACCCTAACCTACTATTTCCCGTAAATTCATGGCAGGTTTACTTTATATATATTTTTATATATATATATATGCATATATATATATATGTATGCGTTGCAAATATGAAAATATGTGTTCGTTTAACGGAAACATGCAGCATCATGATTTACATCCATATTCACACTGCCATTTATAAGTGCGACTCTTTTCTTTTTTTTTGTTTTTTTTGTTTTTTTTTTTGTTCTTTTAAATGTATGTATTATGCAATGTACTTACCTCCGTGCAAAACTGGCAGCCACACTGTTGCAAAATAGTCGAGTCACTGGCATTTTCGACATCAACTAGACACAGTTTACAGGTGAATATCTCAAACGGACGTGCTTTAATTGTGCTACTATTTTGAAATCCTGCTGCCGATGATGATAATGATGGCGATAATGATGACGACGTCATTATTGCTGTTGCTGACTCTACAGTTGCGGTCTCATCTGGCGATGTTGACAGAGTCACGTTCGCTATTGCATTCGATTTGGCGACAGATGCTAAAACAGAGGATGAATCCGAATGGAACGAAGCGTGGAGGGAGGTTAAAGACGCATAAGCGGATGCAATATTACCAGCATGATTGTTGGAAACACCATCCACTACGTCATTGGATATCGCACTTGTAACTATGGTTTGTTCAGTTGTTGTCGTTGGCTTTGCTAGGCCGAGCAATGTTGCGGTCGCAAGGGCAACTTCTCTGGGCGATGCTGTATGTGATGATACAGCTAGGATTTGGTCGGTGGGCGGTGATGTTAGTTTCGTAGTCGAGGCGGTTGTGGTGATGGTTGTGGTGGGTGAGGTAACTGATGAAGTTCTACTGTTAATTACGTTATTGGCACCAGAGTCGAAAGTTTTTCGTCCCGCACAGAAGTTAATTCTATTATTGCTTTTGTTAGCAATACTCAAATTTTCTAGATTATTATCCCCATTACGACTATAGTTGCTACTTAAATTACTACTGCTTAAAATACTAGGGTTACGTAGGTGTGGTATGGAGCCTGGTGTTGCATTTAGCGAGTACCTGGACCCTGAAGCTGCCATCGATAGAAGACTGGAACAACGCGAACAGGTAGCGTTTATGCTGACTGTACTGTTACGCAGCCGATTTAATGGACGTATTTGTTCTACACCATTGGCACTAAAAATTCCGCTACCCGTATAGGGTGCATGGTGGTTGCTCTCATTCAAATGATAACCAGAACTTGACGAGCTCACTTCTAATGTCGGCGAACCCAAAGAATTCGCCTGACGAGTGAGAGCCAATACAGTTTCACATTTTCTAAGATTGGTATACTGTACGATTGATTGCGATTTCTCATGATTTAAACTATTAGAACTGCCATCTCGTTTCATCATGTTCCACAACTTTTGTTGCATAACATTTAAGGATGTGGAGCTACCACCGTTTGCTAGCTTTTCTCTGCTACTATGAGAGGCAGATGGATTCCGCAATACCACCACATTTTGTTCCGAGGGTGTTCGGGTAATCGTAATTTCTGGCGACGATGGCATAGTCTTAACTGCAACGCTACCATTAGACGCTGCGTTTGCTGTATTATAAGATTCTGAATTTTGAACCAGAACATTGTTAACTGAAGGCCGCAAACCCACCAAAGATTTGAGAAAATTACCAAAACGTATTCGTCGAGGTTGAGGGCCCCCCGCAAGCCCCAGCGAGCCTGCTTGAGGGCCCTCTGTCTCATAGCTGCCAAGTTTTGGAACAGAACCAAATTCACCTCTTTCAACAGAACCGATGCTTTCCGTTCGTGGTTGCCTCCCCTTGAAAGTAGAATTTAAGGAGTGTTGCAATGGTAAAGTTAATTTTGCTGGCGCTTGTAATGACCCACTATTTCTTTTGCTGTTCGCTGTATGCAATTGTGCTTGAATATTGATGTGATTGTGTGGCTCCAAAAGAACCTCGGTATCGTTATCGCTTACTGTTGTCGCTATAGATTTTTGTTGGTGATAATTATTGATTTGCTTCTTCTTTGGGTTGGCCAGGTTGTGTATTGGTGAGGAGTCCTACGAATTGTCAAAAATCGCCATTTTATATTCTTTTCTTCATTTTTTTTATTTTATATTTGAAAATTTTGAAAAAAATTTAAAAAATAGTTTCAATTTTTAATTCCAAGATGATATGAATATTTTACTATGATCGATATTAGCTTAATATGCTTGATATAATTAGTGTTTCCCTCTTTCTTTATTTTTCATTCCTATCCCGACAGACAAATGCCCGTTTCTGATACCCAAAGATCGTAATCGAGTATGTGCGAAAAATAATTTAAGAATATCTATTGCGAATGAAACTCAAAATAAAAAAAGAAAACTTACCCTAGAATCTTGTTCTAGTTCCTCCTCAAGAGCACTATACACTGGAGCGTACCAAGAATACGAATATTGTCTACGTGATGCACCGGCTGATGTTATTGTTCCCACAGCATCTGATGAAAGTTTAACATTTGTCGTGTGCGATTTAGTTCTATTACTTTGTTGTAATTTATGAAGCACGGCCGAATTGGATGCCGTGTTACCGCCACAACACTGATTATTATTACGATGTACACTACACGTCGAGGTAGTTATCAGATTGTTGTTGTAATTTAATTGTAAACTACGTCGTTGTAATTGTTGATACGATGCTGGCAAATGCTTTGTCGGTTTACGTTTATGATTCTCTTCAGAACTGGAACGTAAACTGGAATGATTTCGTCGTAGTTGAGCCAAAGGAAAAGCAGTAGATTTATTATTAACTGTGATAGTCGCTAGTGAAGTGCGTCTTAAATTATTGTTTGCGAGTGAAGATGTGGACGATGTCAACGTATTGGGCAATTCTTTTTTGGTAAATATCAGCGAACTGCTATTTTTGTGCAAATATATCGAACGTTCGCTATCGTTAACGGTGGCTTCAATATTTGTCAGCAGTGGTTCAGTTTCAGACAATGGAAGATTAATAATGCAATCGTTATTCTTATATGAGGGCAATGAGGCGGTATCTGCTGGAAAATTTATCACAAAATTCTCTGCACCATCGTCAAAGTTATTGGAATGAGAAATATAATTACCGCCGCCACCATTGGTACTAATGCTTAAACTACAATCGTCACTTGATGACGAACGTGAATATTGGCTAAATAACGATGAACGTTGAGTACTAGGAGGACTAGCACTTAAATTAGGAATGCGTCGTAGCACGTCAGTTTGATTTGCAAACGTTAGGGTTTCGTGTGGCGGTGATGTACTGAGATCTACTAGTTGTACACTTGTTTCGTTAACGTCCAATGTAGAAATTTCAGCATTTGTTCGCTGTTCGCTATCTTCAAATTCATTAATAACCTGTGTTTTTGGTCTACGGTAAAATTCAATTGGATGCTGTTGTCTTAGAGCTGCATCTGATTGCGTTGTCTGTATTGTTGTTGGTATGGTTTGAATAACAGTTGAACAAGCATTAAGTAGTTGATTTTCGACGAGTAATTCACGTTGCTCCAATTTCGATTTACGTATATGATTATGCGGACTTCCTACAAATGCAGTTTGATAATGCTTTGGTTGTTGTTGCTGTTGCTGCTGCTGCTGCTGTTGTTGTTGTTGTTGGTGGTGTTGTTGTTGTTGTTGATGCTGCTGTTGCTGTTGTTGTTGAATATGATGATGCAAACGGTTCGCTTCATTTTGCTGCAATGTACTTTTTTGCATTGGTGGTCGCATTGTTCAAATTTAAAGTGAACTTCTCTTTTAAAATGTAATTAACACTATGGCCGCTAATCACTGTATACCACAATTGTGGTAAATCAAGTTGCGACATTGTATAGAAACCCATTGCGTCGACTGCTCTGAATATTAACTAAAAATAAAATGGAAAAGAAACCCAAGAACGTATTAAAAAAGAGGGTTTCATTTTCATTAAATTCATGATGAGCAGTCAGTTAGTCAATCGTTACTTAACTCTTTTCATAAAAAAAAATTATAAATATTCGATATTTTATAGACTCTAGATGTTTATATCTAACTAATATAAATAAGTCTAGAAATTAAATGATGGAACGAAAGAAAGAAAGAGGATTGAACATTAGTTATAACCTCTTGAAATTTATTTTTGAGAAGTTTGAAGGATGAAAGGAAATAAAGGCAATAAGTTAATTGTGCTATATATTAGATTAGCGGGAAAGTTCTGTCGCATTGCAAATAAGTCATTTGAAATTAAAGATGCCTGATGCGAATTTAAATAGCAAAGACAGCAACCACAGCTATGTTGAGCAGTGAATAGAAAGATACTTGGAACCCTACTCTGTTCAAATTAGTGAACGTATTTTAATGGACACCTCATACATCCATATTAAAGTACAATTTAAAACAAGCTAAACAGAATTATTTTTAATAAATATTTGAAATTTCTTATGGTAGCATGAACGGATTGCGGTCAAGCCAAAATATGACAACGATATTCGCCTGGGTATGGTCGCAGGCCCAAAAGTATATTAACCGTTACTTAACAGAACTCTGTTAAGGATGTTTACGAAGCTCTGTTAAGGCAGTTGGTAGATGTCTTTGCTAGTCACATTCAAATTAATCTTCATACACTCTGTGTTCCCTACCCATCGAATGGTCGATGATGAACACCTTTGCAATTGCAAAGACGCTAGGAGTGAATTACTCCCCAATATGGATCACAAAATGTCATTATCGCTCATGTCGGCGACTGAAATCCTCGGAACGAAATTTGACAAATCATTTGGCAATGGAAATTTGATCCGAATATGTACAATCTCACTTTCCAGCATGTCCTATAAGTTCTTATAAGCAACCGATGTGTTCCTTCCTTTTTCAAGGTCATACCAAATACATTGCCTTACATACAATTTGTGCACTTTATATACTCTGCGCTTGACAGCTATTTAGCTGACGGACGGTATTGAAAGTCTGTTTCTTATTTCTCATGAGAGATATGTTAAATAATAATATTCCACATGAATGCATTCGATCTGATTGCCTTGACCTGACAAACAAAATTACCTGGAAGTGGTAAGACACCACAAATCTTTTTCCCTAACTAACTATTATAGTAAGCTGTTAACTAAAGAGCCTGCTGATGGTCAATTTGGTAAACTTATGCTCTGTAAAATATTGATCTTTCAAGCAATCTTGTAGGTGTATATGTCACTTAAAGCAATGGCTGATTATTACAAAATTAAAAAAAAACCACAGGGAAATTGTCTACTTATTCACAGTTTTACTAAAAATTCGAACCATGTTTTTATTTTAAGCAAAGGGGAAGTATTACTCGGTTTAATATCTCACAGAGGAAACGATTAACTGATTGTAACGAGGAATGGATTGCAATCTGATTGCAATTGTTTAAGAATTCTTTATTTTTTTTTTCAATTAAAATCTTTGAAATTTTGCTGACTCAATATATTAACATAATCTTGACTTTTGTTTTTATTACAATAATTCTTCCCTATCGTTGGCCGAGAAAAAGGAACAAATACAAATTAGTTAACATTAGTCTTGAATTAGTTTTCAAAACAATCATCTTAGGATAAAATTGAAATGCATAGTTGAAAACTTCTAACCACCATTATTATCATAAGCCATTCGTCGTGTTAAGCAATTGTCGGAAAAGTGAACAACTTTTCCTCCTACTTTGCATATCATTTTTCCAAAATCATTGTTGCAACTAAATTTTATGTTTTTCAGCAGACAACAACAACAACAACAACAACAATTGTAAAGACATTCTTTTTTTTTTTTTGTTTTAAGATATTCTTTTCATTTTATTTGCTTTTTGTAATCGTTTTTCAAGTGAAGGAGAAAATAATAGTTTCAGAATGTAACAGACAATTGACACTGAAACTCTTTGAATCCTTATAAATGCTGCAAAAAAAAAAAAGACAATTTCCTGCAATTCTACTGTTGCTATATGCATAGTATTTATATATGGCGACAGATATGTAAACTTGTACTTTTATGTAAAAACAAAAAAAAAAAAAAAAACAATAGAATAACAAATTATTCAGTAAGTAAATGATAGATGACTTTTGTGCAGCAGACTGGAAAATCTAATAAATGATTTCAATCAAAAAGAAAACAGAAAAACAAAAAAAGGAACAAAAAGACCAAACATACGAATATAGAGAAACTGAGACTTTAAAATGAGTCATTGTTCAATCGAAAATGTACACCGTTCATGGTATAATGGTATATTAAGTATGTCCGTATGGGTGCAATATCCAGAAGAACTTGAGATAGAACTACTTTTTATTAGGTCGATCGAATCATAAAGTGATTCTGAAGCTTGTCTCTCCATCTGCCTGTCTCTCTGTCCGTCCGTCCATCAGTTCGCCATTTTTTATATATTTTAATGGCATTTTGGTACATCAACGCGGTTTGATCAAAGCGCGATCACTATTTTTGGACCACTCCACGTATAAAAACTTCTCCTGAAAAGCCAAATACTTGTAATAAATGAATTGGTATAGGGTATTTAATAGCGGATCACATCCCACTTAAGCACTTTCACCTATGCTTAGTTATGTCAAAAAGGCGCTCCTTCTTAAATAATGTGTGTGTGTTTTTCATTTCGTAATTGGTTATCTTTACAAATCGTAGAAATTGCTGCATCACTTTAAAAGTTTCCCGACTTTTTTTTACTCTACAATTAATCGGATTAATGACTCGAATTTTATTGATATTCAAAGCATTTGCGTTATAAGTAGGATGAGGCCTTTCCTCACTACGTTATAGGATAATCGCTTCAAACCGGGCTATTGAGAACAACTATTTGTCCCTTCTTGTAGTCGCTTGTGCTCAGGTACTTCTCCGCAAATGCAGGAGATTCAACTAATAAAGACGTTCTTCCGATTGAGGTGAACCCTGCTATTTGAATTGTTATCACCGAGTGCTGTTACGCAGTTGTAGTACACCGCAAGAATTCTGCCGAAGTATTCGCAATTAGTGTAAGTTTTCAGATCGATTTCGTTTTCCTGCCATATCAGTGACTCGGCGCATCACGAGTATGAACACTGGCAGTCTGGCAATGGTCGACCACTTCGCTTAGTACACTTATTCGTTAGTTTTGGTAATAATATATCAAACATTACACAATATTTTTATGCAAAGACATATCTTACATGAAAGCCTATATTTTAAAGGATTTTTAATGAAAAGCCTTATAAATGTTAGGGTTTAAAAAATTGAATTCTCTACCGTTAATTTTGTTGATAAATTGCTATCGACCAATTTTCATCATAAAATATTAAAATTTAAACCCATTTTTGAAGGGATTACATGGACTGGGGTCCAAGAAATAGACCCACGGGTTTGAAATTTGGTTGGAATACAGAAAATTGGCCTACGTGATCCAAATTTGGTAGGAATGATTTTTTCTATTAATTTACTGCTATGAACTGCAATTTTCACCATGAAATATTAAAAATTAGACCCTTCTGCCCTATAAAGATTCACTTTTCATAGAAAGAGTTGTATGAGAAAATGTTCAAACAATTGCTCCGGCTGAACCAAAAGCACAAACTTTTATTTTGGCAGAAAGCTATAATTTTCAGCATTTTCTGCTGAAAACTGCTTCATCATAATAGCGATTTGATTAAATTTGGATCACACAGGTGTAATAAGTTTCGACATTACCGCTTATAAGGGTCGCCATAAAAACTAAGCATTTATAGAGCAAAAAAGTCTAATTTTTAGGGCTTCAGGATGAAGGTAGGTGTAGAACAATATGATCTTTAACAGAAAATAAATTTTGCTAAATTTGGATCACGTTAGTTAACATACAGGAGTTACCAAGAAAAATACGTCTCTACATGGGAACAAAGCATAATGTTTGATATTTTATCACGAAAATAATTTTTTTTTTTTACACATACATAGAAGATGGAAATAAGTAAAATTAAAATAAATGGAAAATTGTATTCGAAATTGTATACTTTACTTATTTTTTCATTTTCTTTTACCAAGAATCTATATATTAATTGAAATTTCTTCCAAGTAATTGAAACTTCTTCCAAGTAATTGAACTTTGATTAAATTATATTTTTGGTGGCTACCTCACGTCCGCACCTCCCTTCATTTTAATACGAAAAATTAGTTGAGCGGATGCTGTCCAGGGAAAAATACCCTACATCGTCCTACAGTTAATTATAGAATGACGAAAGCCACCCGACAGAAACCGTCCTCGACAGATCCGACTTTTGGGCCAAAATATGTTGGTGTACTAAGTTTCATTAAAATATCTCCAGAATTTTGATCTATAAATTGACCATAAGGAAACAAGATTGACGGACGGACAGACAGACAGATAAACTTAGGCCGATTGTAAAGATATCCATTATCATTATGCCAATAAATCTGAATATTATCTTTAGAATTGATTGATGCATATTGAACCAACTTTCAGATAGACAATTATTTTCACTTATGCCAAAGACTGATTCCGGCTTTGCGTCTTATGTGGTAGAAAGAGTGATGCCGTCATTGTATCAAATTTCATAAAAATATCTGAAAAATTACAGCCTGTACGTTGAACACAAGAAAACAAGACGGACAGACAAGTTGTTATCGATTCAGAAACTGATTCGATATCGATCGGTAAAATATAAGTTAAATCTGTCTCAAGTGTTTCCGGGTGTTACTTACATCCGTACTTAACTTAATATGCACTTATATTACATTTCGGCTCTAAAGTATAAAAATACTTCTTATTTAAGCTGCCAGAGTTGCTGTTTAACGAGCGAAAGAAGTAAAGGGGTTGAGAATCTGTTAGCTGTCGATGGAACCTATTTTGATTAGGAATCACTACATATCCGAAATTCAGCTTGCGAATGGTGG